ATTGTGTTGGGGCGCCGTTTGCACCCCGAGCTTGTGTCTGGAAGCAGACGTCTCTCATTGGGGGCTGCCCTGGCTGGCTTCCTGCGTTTGGTTTTGTGATCATTTTTGGGTTCTCTCTAGAAGTGTTCCTTTGTGGTTGTACTAGTCCCTTTCTATTTTGCCCCCCTTTGCCTCAAAAAGGAGATTCTGCTCTGCAGTACTCATCAACAAAAAGTGCTTTTCATTTTGAGGGAAAGTGTGGGAATCGTACAAGGAGCTTCTCCTGCATGCTTTGACTCTTTGGCGAAGGAGTTTCCATTTGAGCCTGGTTCTCCCCAGCACGACTGAATTCCTTAGGGAGTATTTCCTCGTGGTCTGGAGGTTCTCCTAAGGAGCCCCGCTCACAGGGACCTGGGCAGGACTGTCACTGCCTTTCCGTCCACAGCCGCTGAGGGCTCTGGCTGGTCCCAGGTTGTTCTTTCTGAAACTAAGGGCCTGCCCAGGGCTGGGAGTGGTGGTGCACTGTTCTGCACATCTCTTTAGGGACTTCTGTTTGGAACAACTCTTCGTTCTTTCCTTAACTTTTAACACCTGGGCATCCTTGGAGATTATGAAACTAGTCATTATCTATTATGATCTTTGTGATCCTGGGGGACAAACCCAGGCCCTCACGCGTGTGAGCGTACGCTCTTCCCTGGCCTCTCTGGCTAATGTTGTAGAATAGCTGTCTGCCACTCCCTTTCTGCCGGCTGTGAGGGACACACGCGGAGCGGCTCCCTCTCTCTGCTCTGGGGCCTGCTTAGGGCGTTCTCCCGCTCTCGGGGGGTGGGGGGGTGGGGGGCACTCGGGACTACTGGGCTGTTGGCTTGGTGCCAAACCCGGGGACCTGTGGGTGGCCTGTGTGAGTCTGGACGGATTCTGCAGCAGACAGCCACAGACGCCACTGCAGCACCAGGGGAGCCTGTGGAAGACACAGGCTCACACCAGGGACTTGGGACGCACTTTCCCTTTCTGCTTCTCAGCCCTTCCTTCTGAGGGGACTCCCTCTCTTCCCTGGATTAAGCGAGGGCGGCTGTGTGATGTGCCTGGCCCGGAGGCTTGGGCACTCGTGTGTGCTGCTTGTGGCAGCTTCGTCCCTTCGTGTCACCCAGCCCTGGAGGAGAGCGAGTGCCCGGATAGAGCCCCGAGTGTGGCCGGGAGCGGGGAGCAGTGACCCTGGAGGCACAGCAAGGAAACGCACAGAGTGGACAAAAATGTGTGCATGTATGTGCACGTGTATTTGATGTGTGTATAGTATGTGGTTTGTACATGAGTGCGTACGGTGTGGGTGTATATAGTACATGTGGTATATGTGTGCACGCGTGTGTGTGTTTGGTGTGTTGTGTGTTTGGTGTGAGTGCATAGTACGTGTGGCGAGCGTGTGTAAGCATGTGTTTGGTGTGTGCGTGTGTGTGCATACGTGTGTTTGGTGTGTGTGTGTCGTGTGCATGCATTGTGTATGTGTTTGGTGTGAGTGTATAGTAAGTGTTTCATGTGTATGGTGTGTTTGGTGTGTGTGCATGCATGTGTTTGGTATGTGATGTGTGTGCATGTGTGTGTGTCATGTGCGCGCATGCGTGTGTTTGGTGTGTATAGTGTCTGCACGTGTAGTGTGCATGCATGTGTGTGCGCATGTGTGTTGAGTATTGTGTGGTGTATGTGTGTGGTGCGATTATGTAATGTGTGGCGTGCGCATGCATGATTTGGGCCCTGTCAGTTGTAGGAGCAATAGTGGATGCCCGGAGATGCCAGGCGGCTGTGGGGCGCCCACGGTCTGCATACTGACCGCTGCCTTCCCGCCCTGCCGTGTCCACCCGCAGTCTGCACACTGACCCCCAGCGTCCTGTGGAGGGTGAAGGGACAGGGTGAAGCTGTGTTCCAAGCCTGCCCGGGCAGGGGGTCAGCTGGCCTTCCTTGCGGCGGGCAGAGGAGGGGGCTCTGTGTGGTGGGGGGGGGGGGGGGCGCAGGCTTAGTCCTGGGCGTGTGCTGTGGGGGGCGGTGCGGCTTTCTCTGCGGGGCCCGAAGCCAGCAATAGGAGAAGCGGCGGGAGCCCACTGAGCGCTGTGGCCTATCTGGTGTCCTCACATCGCTGGAAGCTGCCGAGAGGACCTGGCGCCCCTCCCCACTCACTGCTGCCAAGTGGCACCAGGGTCTAGTCCAGGCGGGGCCACCCCACCCCCTGCATTGTCCTCAGGAGACAGGTGGTCACGGGACGCGCCGCCCACACACGGGTGGTCACTTCGTATCCTACTTTCTACTGCTGTTTCCTCTGCCCAGAGCTTCCGTTTCCTCTTCGAGGGGAGGACAGTGGACTTCCTGTTTGTCCGCTGCCGGCGGGGGGCTGAGCCCTGGGCCTGAGGAGGAGCTCAGAGAAGCCCTCTGCTCTGTGGAGCGGAGTGTCCCCTTGGAGGAAGGCGCCTGTGTCCAGTCTGGCCACTGCCCTGTGTTGTGCATTTTCATTGCCCCGAGGGACCGACCTTTCCTGCTCACGGCAGCTGTCTCAGCATCTCCTCGGCTTCGGGTCTGGCCAAGCAGGGCCCAGGCCTCATGTGTAGGACCCCCCGTGCTTCCCATCTTCCCCCTTGGGCTGGGACCCTCCTGCGGTCCAGATCCCCGTGCCGGGGTCCCGAGGGATGCAGATGGTGTGTGGCGGGTGTGGGGGAGGTGCCCAGGAACGTGCGATCTGGAGTCTGCCGGGCCCGGGCCCGGTTCCATGCTTGGGGAACTCAGGGCAAGTGGTCTGACCTTGTGGGGCCTCTGGGGGATAGTGACGCTATTAATAACTTGCGGTGAAGTAGCTTGTGGTGCAGTGCACCCAGCCCTGCCGAGGCAGTCACAGCCCCACTGCAGGCCCATGGGCTTTAGTCTGACCAGAGTGGGGGTGCCCTGCTCCCGAGGATGGGGGTACTGCTGACCCCGGTACCCCAGGACCCCCGCTGGGCCTGGTTTGCGGGTGCTCTCTGCCCTCCGAGAGGCCGGCCTGGCCCTGGGCTTGCTCCTCAGGCGCCTGACTGGACTGTGCTCTGCCCTGCGGGAGCTCAGGTTTGGACCCTCCCTGTACCCTGTGTGGTCACGGGGTCTTGGTGGGGCAGGTATTTCCTCAAGGGGCAGAGCCCAGGCGGAGAGAGTTGCCCCGGGACTGTGTGCTCGTGCCTTCCACTCCCACATCTGTCGGGGCTGCCCCTGCTGAGACACCGTCCAGCAGGGCTCCTTCACCCCAGGGGTGGGTGGCAGCGTGGGTGGAGCAGGACCCCGACAGGCTGGTCCAGGACCCGAGGCCGGAGGTGCCCTTCTGGGGTGCCCTTGGCACCGAGCAGGCGGAGCCAACAACCCCCTATGCCACCAGCCGCTAAAAACGAGTTGGGGGCGTTTGGAATGGGCCACTCCTGGTGCTGCCCCCCGCCCCCTCCCCCCGTCCCCTGCTCCCTTGGAGAAGGTCTGACGGGCTCCGGGGGCCCCCTTGCCTCTGGCAGAGGATCCCTGGAACTCTGGGGAAGGGGCATGTGGAAGGACGCAGTGCGGCTTTGACGTGGCCAGGCCGTCCTTGGCCAGTGCAAGGCCCAGTTCCACCAGGCTGCCCTGGTGTAGGTCGTTCCCGGGGCCACGGCCACTTGGCCCAGCGCATTTCCTTCTGCACTGAGAATGCAGCAAAGATGCTGGTGACTGGCCTCAGGGCAGGGGCCGTCCTCACCCGAACCTGAGCCAGAGGCTTCCGGAAAGTCCGGCTTGCTCGACGGCTTTCTGCCCACTGGCGAGTTTCTGAATGATTCCAGGCCCTTGGGTGGAACATGTGGGTGAGTGACCCGCTTGCACAGCCGAGGGGCTGCCCGCTGCCAGGAGTCCTGGAGGCGGTCAGCCAAAGGAGGCTTATGTCAGCCCAGCAGGGGGGAAGGGCGGACGTCTGTCGGAGCCGCTGGGGACTGGGATGGTTCACGAGGCTGTGGGCAGTGGGGTGCCCCTGCGCGGTGCCCCCATGGGCCAGGCACTGATCCTTGCTGCTGCTTTAACCTGCAGCTCTTTGGGTTTGTTTTGGCCCTGACCAGCCCTCGGGGCTCACTCCTAGCGGGGCTCGGGAACCATGGGGGTTGCAGGGCGGGACCTGGGTCAGCCGCGTGCGTGTGCGGCCTGTCGCTGACCGCCTTCCCTCCACCCCCGTGCGCACCCTGGCCGTGCTCTGTCCTTCACCTAAGGGGCACACACTGCCCTTCTCTGCGGACTCTTGTCTTTTCTCTAGCATGACCAAGGCACACGTCACGTGGAGTCCTTTGAGTGAGTGGAAACAGCCGTGCGTCTCCGGGGCTTAAAAAGTTTCAAACGGAAGGGAAACCCCAGGCTGGCAGCAGAAGGCCCCTCGGCCCCCGGCACTGTGCCTGAGCGTCCCCTTACCCCACGGGGAACGGGCGTGCTGTGTGGCCCCGGCTCTCGGTCACAGGCGGTGTAGCCGGGGCTGGTGTCTAGTTGAGCGCCAGGAGCCCCAGCCCTTCTTGGGGGCTGTGGCCTGCCAGGGCACTGTGGGTGGGATCTGCTGATGATTCAGACGGAAAGTGCTTCCAGGGGCTTCCCTGCAGCAGGTGCCAGGGCCGGGCGTTGGTGACACCACCAGGCCCTGCCCAGGGTTGACACGAAGGGAGAGACTGTGTGTGTGGGGGGTGGTGGTGGTGGTGGTGCTGGGAGCAGGGGGAGGGGGTATTGTTGCAGGCTGAGGTGCTGGGCAGTGGCTGCAGAGCCGGCAGGGGCCGGCCATTCCAACTGCTCTGATCCTGCCTCCCGGGCCTCTGCACGCCACGCTACTGCTGTCTGCTGTCTGCGTGTCTGGAACACACCAGGGAGAACGAAGCCACATCGCCTGGGCACCGGCTCCAGGCGATGGCAGGGGCTGGGGCAGGAGCGGGGGCTGGCCTTGGCCCGGCCTTGGCCCGCCCGGCGTTGCTGGCCACTGTGGCCAGACTGTGGAGTGACTCTCTCGTGTCTGTCGTTTCCAGGCAGTGCTGCCGTGGAGAGGTTGGAGGACTTCATCAACACCATCAACGGTGCTCTGGGGTCCCTGTACATCGAGATCAAGAAGGGGCTCACCGAGGATGACGGGAGGCCAGTCTATGCGCTGGTGAGCGGCGGGCAGAGCCCTCTAGTGGCCACAGGGGCGAGTGGCAGTGAGGCCACCTGAGCTGAGATGGGAAAGGGGGTGGGAGTGGGGACACTGAGCCAGGATGGGAGAGAGGGGGCGGGGCGGGGGGCAGGGCTCTGAACCGGGAACAGGAGTGAGGGGGAGGGAGGCTCTGAGTTGGGACAAGAGGGGGGGGGGCGCTGAGCCCGGACAGGAGTGGGAGGGCGGGGTCTCTGAGCCGGGACAGGCGAGGGGCAGGAGGGGGTCTCTGAGCCGGGACAGGCGAGGGGCAGGAGGGGGTCTCTGAGCCGGGACAGCTCTCAGCCCAGCCTTCTTCCCACTTGCCACTGCCTCCAGCCTCTGGTCCCGTGGTGACAGCTCGGTGCTTGGTGCTCCAGCTCAGTGCTCAGCCCTGTCACCAAGGCAGCAGCCTTCCTGTGGCTCTGGGTGCTTGGTGAGGGTCCTGGCAGGGTGGGATCAGGGGCCAAGGCCGCCCCCTTGGAGTCGGGCACAGACCCTGGTTGGCTTGGGCCCCTATTGCTCCCGGGTCCCCTGCGAGCTGGGAAGAGGTGCAGTCGAGCGGGCGGGGTCCCTGGCTCGGCACCTGGCTTTAGCTGATGGAGGGGCCCCAGCGGGGGTCTCCCAGCCTTGACCCAACAAAGTGTGAGCGAGCCATGAGGTCAGTGGTGTTGGCGGTGCTGTGAGTCTGGGCATAGTCGGGTCCCAGTCCACGTGCACCAGAGGCTGGTGGGGTGGGCAGGGGGCTCCCCCCGCAGAGGGCACCAACCGCCTCCCTCTGCCTCGCCTGTAGGTCAACCTCGCCACGACCCCCATCTCCAAAATGGCGTCAGACTTTGCGGAGAATGAGCTGGATCTGTTCCGGAAGGCTGTGAGCACCATCTCTCTCCCAGGGGACCCTCCGTCCTCTCCCTTGGAAGTGGAAGCCACCGGGGCCAGGGCGCTGGCACGCAGCTGACCCTGGGTGCTTCACTCACTGCAGCCCTCGAGGTCCCAGACACAGTCGGGGGCGGCCCCGGGGCCCCAAGCACTACTGGACTGGGCTCGGCATCTCTGACACCGTAGGGCACTGCAGCCGCTTCCTCGGGGCCTTCCCTTGATCCATTGGGCCCCGGGACTCCTGAGCACCATTGGGGAGCCCGCCACTCCCTCCCCTAGGGGAAGCCACAGTCCCTATGGTCCCCCGGACTCATGAACCCAAGGCTGCAGTGTAATGGGCTCATGGCGCGGCTGTGCCTGTTGGCTCTGCGCTCCGCCCTCGACCCCTCTCCCGGCTGGTTCCTGCCGAGCCTGTGCTCCCTAGACTGGGGAAACGGCAGTCCCCCGCCTCCTGGCCCCAGGTTCCCTGCAGGGCTCGAGGGTTGGGATGGCATCAGGGTTTTCTACGCCTCTTGTGGGGTACGGCCCTGGTAGAGCACGGAGACCGCCTGGCCGTGGCATGAGTCCCCGGGGGTGCCCGCCGGCGTCTCCTGCTGCTGTGTCCCGCCTCCCCTTGGCCCCTGTGTGCTTCCTTCTGCCCCTCTCTTCCCCTCAGCCCTGCCTGACCCCCGCCTGCCCTGGGACTGCCGTGCTGCCTCCCCTCACGCCCCTGCCCCTCGGCCTTGGGGCATGGGGGGCAGCCGGGGCCATGGATTCTTGGGCAGGGTCTTTCCCGTGGGGTGGTGGTGTGGTTGGACGTGGTGTCAACTCTGCCTGGGGTCCAGCCCCCGTGGTTCGAGCGGATTCACTTTAGAGCGTTTTTTTTTTTTTTTTTTTGCTGGGTGACTTCTGAATGCGGGTCCTGCCCTCTCTTCCAGCTGGAGCTGATCCTCGAGTCGGACACCGGCTTTGCATCCTCCACGAATATTCTGAACCTGGTCGATAAACTGAAGGGCAAGAAGATGCGGAAGAAGGAGGCCGAGCAGGTGCTCCAGAAGTTCGTTCAGAACAAGTGGCTGGTCGAGGTATGTGGCTGGGCCGTCCCCTTGCTCTCCCGAGGGGAGTTCCCTGCCGGGACCTTCGGAGAGTTTGACCCCTCTAGTCCCTTCTCCGCCCAGTGTCCTGCCCACCCCCGTAGGGCCTTCCTGGGAGCCCCAGCTGGACCCAGGGCCAGGCCTGGGCCTGAGTCCCACGTGTGTGGGGGTGTCGTGGTCCCCAGCACGGGGCTGGCATGTGAGCAGGGGCGAGGGGGTCCTGCAAGGCTCACGTCCCATCCTCCCTGTCGCTTAGGCACAGGCAGAGGAGAAAGAGGAAGTGGTGTCAGGCTGTGGAGAGGCACCCAGGAAATCCGACAGCAGGTGGTGTCTGGGTGTCCCCTTGGGCAGCGCCGAGTTTCTGTTCTTCTTTCCTCAAGTGATGACCTTTGGTTCCGAGAACCTGAGGCCAGGGCTCAGCCCGCCGTGCTCGGGAAAGGGCCCCCCATTTCCTCCTTGGCGGGCCAGACCCGGGGCTGGAAGTGGCTGTCCTGGGCCGCCGTGGTGTCCCTTTCCTGCTGGGGGTCCCAGCCTGGGTTTGCGGCACCTGTGTCCCTGCAGGGGCGGGCTGGGAACGCTCGGTTCCTGTGGAAGGCAGGAGGGCCTGAGCTCAGAGCGTTCTTGGGGAGGGGGGCTCCGGGCCTTGCGTATTCCCCCGCCCGCCCGTGTTCTCAGCCAACTCAGTGCCGTGTCCTGGCTAATGCCGGCCGCTTGGGTGACGCCCCTCCCGGGCAGGGCCTGGCTGCAGCTCCCCTTCCCCCCCGGTGTGCCTTGCATCGGGAACATTCCGGGCAGCCCGTGATGGTCCCGGCTATCCCTGCGCTTCCCTCTGCTTGAATCCTGGCTCCCAGCACGGCTCTGTCCCGGGGAGGGGCCAGGCCCGACGAGGCCCAGTTCCTGCCGTCCTCGGGAGACCAGACACGCATGGCCTTCGAGTGACCCCGGGCCAGGTGCTGCCACACCCAGTCCGGGTCCTGCTGGCAGGGGCCCGGCCTCTCATCCCGGAGCCCGTGTGGTCCCCAGCAGGCCTGGCCTCTCAGAGCCCTCGTGCTGCTCCCTGGGCACGAGGGCGGGGTGGTGGGTGGTGCTGGCCCTCCAGGGAACAGCGCCTGGCCGGAGGGACATGTCTGAGGCTCAGACAGGGAACTCTCCAGACACGAAGTGTGGCCCTCGCCCGAGGCCTGTGCTTGGGTGCCCGGGGGGAGGTGCCCCGCGGGCCTCATCCCCGTGGGTCTCCAGGGGCCGATGCAGTGCCCACAGAGAGCCCTGCGCCCTAGAGGACAGCCTGCCGCAGTCCGGGTTCAGGATTGTTGCCAGGGGGCGCCGAGGTCTGGCCTTGCTTGGAGGGTCCTTGCTGGGGTCAGTGCTCCCGGCGCTGGAGTGAGCCAGTGGGCACTGCAGCACTGAGGGCCGAGGGAGGTGGCAGGACGGGGGTCTTGGGCTGTGTGGGGGCTGGGGTGCTCCGAGCACCCGCACTGTGGGCCACAGGGCTGGGAGCTCTAGGGTGGCTCGCTGGAGTGGGCCAGTTGTGTGAGGGCCATGAACCCAGGAGGGTGCTGCCCCTACCATCAGCCCTGTGCCCGGTGTCCATTGCATGGCCTCCAGCCCTAGGGGGAGGGCGGGCACTGCTGGGAGACCAGCCCTTGCGGTGGGCGAGAGTCAGACCGAAGAGCAGGAAAGTGGGGGGTCACGGGCCGCTCAGCCGCCTTGGCCGCCTGGGGGAGGGGCACCGGGGCAGCAGCTGACGTTGGCCTCCAGGCTTCCGTGGTCTTGTGACTTCTGGCGCACATCTGTCCCTCGGCCTCCCCAGCTGTGTGTGGGGCCTCACCGCTGTCCGTGAGCTTTGTGGCGGGGCCAGGGTCGTGGGCACTGTGGCAGGTGAAGCCCCGGCAGTGGGAGGGGCTGGGCTCTGCTCTGGACTGGGGGCGCTGGTCTCCAGGGGGAGGTGCCCGGCACGGCTCTCTGGGCACTTCAGTGTGGGGGCCCGCGGGGCCTGTTGTGCTTCTAGTCTCCCATCCTGCTGAGGGGCTGAGGGGCTGTGGCAGGCCCCGGAGGATACCAGGAAGGTGCCAAGGACGTGGGGGCTGTGGGGCCTCCCTTCCCCCGTGGCCGCTGCAGGGGCCAGTGTGGCCGGTGTCCACACGGGCTGGGCGGGGCGGCAGAGGGGCGGGCAGGTGAGTTCTGGGGTGCAGAGGCTGAGCACAGCCCCGTGTCCCCTGCAGAAGGAAGGGGAGTTCACCCTGCACAGCCGGGCCATCCTGGAGATGGAGCAGTACATCCGGGAGACCTTCGCCGACGCTGTGAAGGTGTGCAACATCTGCCACAGCCTCCTCATCCAGGTGTGTGTCTGTGTGTGGGGGGGGCATCCCCTCACCATGGGGATGTGGGCTGGGGGCACGGCCAGCCTCTGTGAGCTGCTGCACCGGGCCTCTGGGGGCAGTGCTGGCCGGGCACCCCGTGCTCCCTGCCCCGCGGGATGCGGTGCTCCTTTCCCCGGCTGAGACTGCGGGGTCTTGCCCGTGGCAGGGCCAGACCTGCGGGACCTGTGGCATCCGGATGCACCTGCCGTGCGTGGCCAAGTACTTCCAGGCCAACCCCGAGCCGAGGTGCCCCAACTGTGACGACCGCTGGCGCCACGAGGTCCCAGGTGGGTGTGCGGACGCGGCCACAGGCCTGAGGGTCCGGGACGGTGCCTCGAGCCCTGGGCCCACTGAATGGGACCACCTGGTGGGTGGCTGGGTGGGGGGGGGGTGCCTGTGGGCAGCCCCACCGACCCGCATCTCCCCGGCCCTATCTGTGCACAGAGGTCTTCGACCCCGAGCGGGAGAGGGAGGCCAGCGCCCCCAGGCCCACCCGGAAGTCCCTGCGGTCCAGGCAGCATTAGCAGCGTTGCATGAGGCCTTGCCGGGGAGACATCGGCGTCCCCCTGCCCACCCGTAGGCCCCAATAAAGGACCTGCTGCACACAGCCCGCGTGGCCGCGTCTCGCCCAGGCTCCGGGGCCCCTCCCCATGGCCGGGCTCAGTGGAGCCCCTCCGGTCCCGCCTGCAGCCCCCGGCCTTAGGCCTGCCCCCAACACTGCTCGCCCGTCCCCATGGCTGCACACAGTGCCCATTCGCCTGTCCTGGCACACCGTGGGCCTGTGACCTCAGGTGAACAGCAGCCTGCCTGCCAGTGACCCTCCCCCTATCCCCCCTCCCCCCCACCCCACCTGGGGAACCTGCCTGGACTCCACCTGCTCCCTGGCCTCTGGCATTAACCTCTCCGGGCTGGTCTGCCCCTGGGACCCCAGCAGCTGTCTAGCTCAGCCCAGTGCACACCACAGCAGCCCCTTAGTGACCCCCCCACCCGCCTGCCGCCCCCCCACACCCTCCCCTGACCCACCTTCCACCCCACCCAATGGTCCCCTACACCTCCCCCCATCTGCCTGCCGGGCCCCCCGCTTCGCCACACCTCCTCTATCCGCCTGCACCCCAGCTGGCTCCCCGGGGCCTCAGTGCCCACTGGTGGCACTGGGTCTGGGTGGCCTAAGACCCCTCCCCACTTTCCTGTCCCTGCCTTTGGGCCCCGGACCTCAGCCTCCCTCCCCAGCCCATCCCCTGCTTCTGGCTTGGGCAGCATCACCACCTGCAGCTCCCGGGCCCCCTCCCGCCCTTGTCCACATGCCTGTGTCCCCCCTCCCTGGTCTGTCAGCACCCTCCTACTCGTGACAGGACACCTAACCTGCTCAGTGTTCCTGAGGGGCGTGTCCAGGCCAGGCTGCGCAGCTGCTCCAGCCCAGCCCCGATTTCTCTATTTCTGTGCCTGGTGTCTTGACGAGTCCTGGGTTCCAGCCTGCACGATGGTCGCCCCCCTGAATCCTGCACCCATGGGCAGGTGGCAGGGGGAAGGGCGGGTCTCACAGAGCGGCCCTGCCCCAGCCCTAGCACCGAGCTGCCCAAGGCCCCGACTATGACTTCAGCCGACGACCTGAAGTGAGGCCTCCTGGTGGCAGATGCCGTGTGCAGGCCGGAGCCAGAGCATGACGGAGCCCACGGGGGATGGAGCGAGGCACCGAGCCCTGGATAAAGCCCCCGCCTCAGTGATTGCCAGAGGGGTCTTTCTGGAGAGGGGGAGACACAACATTGTAAGAGGGACGCCTCCCATGGCGGGAAATGCTGCCAGACCCGTGTCCTCATCCTCTCTCCCTCAGGGCGCAGCTTGGTCCCCCCCCCCCCACACACACACACTCCCTTCGGGGTCTGCCCTGTTTCTTGAGGCCAAAGTCAAGCCAGCAGGAGCTGGTGTGGCCCTGTGGCTTCCGCCCCCTCACAGGGGGCTCCTGGGGTCCCTGCCTGCCTGCGGTCAGTCCCCAGAACTCTGGCCTTGACGCCTGCACTGCCACCAGCGAGGGCAGGGTTCCAGCCTCGCCCCTGCGTGGCCCAAGGCTGTGCAGATTCAGCCCTTGCCGGGCCCCATCTTCCCGCTCTGCTTCCGGGGCCCTCGGCGTCCTGGCCCGCGGCTCGGGTCCTTCCGCTGGGCTCCCTGCTGCCCTTCACCAGACCCTGTGACCAGCCCCAGCTCCGCCAGCTGAGCACCACACTTAACCCTGCCCTGCCTTGCCTCACTGTCCATCTGCTCCCCATACACTGGGTCAGCCGGCCATCAGAGAGACCCCAGGAGAGGGACACCCTAGCCTGCCCTAAGAGCCAGGCTGTTCATCCGTACCCCACGATAGAACTCAGTGCAGTGATTTGTGGGCGGGGAACAGCCTGGCCAAACCAGCAGAGGGGCTCGGTACAAGCCGGTCTACCCACTGGGCTTCCTGTGGGTCCTGGGCTGCCTCCCACCAGCACCTCCACACCGTCCCCTGCCGTAGAGCTGACCTGCGATCCAGGTCACAGCCCAGTGGGTGCACGCCCACGTGGTTGGCCCGCAGTCTAGGCAGACTGTTACCCTCTCTGCCAGCCACTGCCCGTCTGTTCCTGCTCCATCTCGGGGCAGTTCCCAGACCAGAAGCGGCCCAGGCTCCGCACCCCACAAGGCCCCTGGGCCCCAGTGGTGTCCACCCAGCACTGCCTGTGCATCACCCCTGGTGCCGGGCCGAGTTGCAGGGCACCCGCCCCTAGGGCTCTGTACACCCCCACCCCCAATGCGCCCCCTGCAGTCATGTGCCCAGAAGAGTGCTGTCTTCAGCTTTATTCCCTTTTGAAGTTTGCAGCTGTCGAAGCTGGTTACACCTGACTCGGCATAAATAACAAATACCGTCAGACTCAGGCACTAGGGCCACCCTGCTCCCTGGGGCTTCTCCCCACCCGGGGCCTGGCTCCCTGGGTCCGGTGGATGCACCATGGGTGGGAGACCACAGGGCCGAATCACACCGAACAGTTCATGTCTGAGTGGGCCCTGGGTGGGGGCTGTGGGGCCCCGGGGTGGCCTGGCGTGGGAGTCATGGGTGTGCACGGGAGTCTCCCCCGGGGGCAGCAGGACAGGCGGGCCCAGACCAACCAGCCAACCGGCTCGAGTTGGCAGGCCCTGACGACAGAGCACGCCAAGTGGTGGGCTCGGGTCACAGGCAGCTTGTGGGCACCCCAGCGCCCGACCCACCAGCACCAGCCACAGGCGGCCAGGCACACTGCGTGACAAGCTCAGAGCCTAGGAGCCCTCGGGTGGGGGTGACCAGAATGTTCCAGATGCACAGTCTCCTGGCGGGCGCCTCCCGCTAGGACCACCAGAAGCTGACGGAGAAGCTGAGGTCGAGGGCGCGCACATAGTGCCAGTAGCTCACAGGGATGAAGAGCAGGTCGCCGGGGCCCAGCACGCAGGATAGGAACGGGGCCGCAGCGAACCGGGGGAACCGCTCCAGGTCGGGGTTCTCCACATCCACCTGAAGGAAGCAGACACAGTCCAACTCAGTCTACAGCCCGGGGACAGGCAGGGCAGGGGACAGGGCCACCCGGACCGCCCAGCAGCACCCACCTGGCTCGTGTTGTGCAGAAGGTGCGTTTCGTGGGGGTACAAAGCTTCCGACTCCCGTGGGGAGTACAGCCGGATGTACTTCCTGCCCATCACCTGGAAGGTAGCCGCAGGGTCAGCCCCCCTGGACCCCAGGCCCAGCCCACCCCCACAAAGGCATGAATGCATGCACACACACGCTCTCTTCTTGAGGACATTGGAAATCGCTAACTTCCTTCTGCCCATTTTACAGCTGAGGGCACTGCGGCCCAGGGAGGGGAAATGAAAGGCCAGCACCAGGCCTGTGCCCACGCCAGGCAGTGTGGCTCCCCTACAGGGAGCAGAGCCAGGAGCGACATGCGGGTACAAGCCCCCCCCCCCCCCCCCCCCCCCCAGGCCTCAGAGGTTCATCTCTGGTTCTGACCCTGAGGGTCCATGGCCAGTCCCTGTGCTGGCCGGGCGGAGAAGGTGGCCCGTGTTGGTGGTGGCCCCGACCTGGGCCAGGAAGTTCTGCTGGGGGTCCTGGTGGAGCGGGGAGACAGTGCCAGGGGGCCCGAACCAGGCGTTGATGGTGATCTCCTCATCCTCCCCGCTGCCCAGGCAGCAGTAGTCGGGGATGTCGATGTCCTGCCTCAGCTCCGGGATCTGCGGGGGTCACGGCCGACATGGGTGACCGAGGCCAGGCCCGTGGTTCACATCCCCACACACAGCTGTCCCTGGACACAACTCAGAGGGGCTGGGGGCAGCGTGGAAGGCAGAGCGCATTCATTCCTGGGGGCCCCAGGGACCCTGAGCACAGTGGGCGTGGCCCCTGGAAACTGCAGCAGTGGCCGCACAGAGCCTGGCACACTGCTCTGGACTCAGCTTGTGATTTTGTCAAGATTGAGATATTTTAAAAATCAAGTAAAAGAAACTCAGAAACGGGATGGGGCATTGACCAATTCCTTGGAGCAGTCCAGTTTACGGATGGTAAAAAAAACCTCAACTGATGTCATCATTTAACTTACTGACAGCTGGAGAGTGAGGACTGGGCCGCATGGGGCCAGCCCTAGGTCTATCGGTGGCACCACACATGGTCCCCGAGCACTGCCAGGCGCTCACCCCGAGCGCATCTCAGTGTGGCCCAGCCTCCCTCCCAATAATAAAGACATTGTTAAAAGATGCTTCCTTGACCTGTGAGAAACTAGGGCTATTACAGAGTTGGTTCAACATATAAGGAAGATTCTAGACCCTTAAATGATATAGAAAACCAAAGGACAAGGACCAGACCATGCTCGAAAGAAATTAGATACTAAGGGATGGATTCAGTCCCACTCACAGAGAAATCCAAACATAAACCTCCTTTCTAATCAAATTAGCCAAGAGAGAAAAACCGGGCATGTGGGGGAGGGTATGTACAGGTTGAATCCCCCCCCCCCCCCGCCCATGGCTAATTTGGCACTCATGGCACTGATCCAGCTGGGGCTCAGCTGTGGGGGCACCCCCACCCTCGACAATACTGCCATCGTGGGAGGCATCCTGCCCTCACAACAGCTGCCTGTGACGGAGCGTCTGTCCCGTGGAGGGGGGGGCATCCCCCCAGTATCTCCGTCTCAGGCTCTGCCCTGCCGCAGCTCACAGTGGGGCACTTCTGCAGCTGGACAGAGGTGATCTTTGGGGGACTCTGTCAGGAGCCACGGGAAGGCGGTTCCCTTGGGGCCAGCTCTTCCTACTGGGCACTCTGAAGGCCGCAGTGGACAGTGCCCGGGGCAACGGGTGTGTGGCCTGGGCGGTAAGGCCCCTCTGCAGCCTCTCGGCCCTGTCCCAGTCCCTCCAGTGGGAGCTGCTGTGTTCCTGTTGGAAAGGCTGGAATATTCTGGAATGTTCAGTTGGGAGCCCTGCCCTGACGCTCTGGCTCTGCACTCAGACAAGGGAGGCAGGCAGAAGTGTTCCTGGCCTCCCCCCCAAATCCTCTGGTATCCTCAGGCTATGCACAGCACTCCAGCAGGCTTGGGGATCCTGGCCCACCCCCGCTGACGGGGCAGTCTGCACCCTCGGAATGCTGGATGCTGATTGGTGGCTTGGGCTTACCTGGTCGAAGAGCTGGTGCTGGGCCAGGTAGCCGATGTCCCTAGACTGGTGGCAGGAGAGGGGCAGGTCAGTCATGGGGTCTCCCAGGGAGCAAGGTGGCCACACCCCAGGGCCCTCCACTTCCTACTCTGTCCTGCAGGCCCCTGCTCCCAGCTCAGTGGCCAACGTGACACTCCCTCACGTGGGGCAAGGGCCAGGCTGGACCCGGCCACACAGGTCACGCGTGGTTTAATAAAAGCTGGATGAGACTCGAGTCCTGGCCTGCCTTTGCTTTTTCTCTTTCCTCAGCTGACATGTCCTGACTGGCCTGCAGGTCTGGCCACACACGCTATTGGTGGACTCCCCACTGTGGGCGCTGGGGTGGCCAGTGGCTTTCCGGGAGTGTCCCTACACAGCTTTACATCCATGTCTGAGAGCAGAACGTGGGGATCGTGGGGTTCCTGCATTCTAAGTTAGTGCGGCCCCGCCCGCAGCTGGCCCAAGTGGAGTCGTGAGTGGCCTCCGCTGGGGGTGGCCACTGTGCAGCTGCCCGCAGCATCGGTGGGCAGGTGTCCAGAAGATACCCTGGATGCCGGGAGGGACAGCTGGGACAGGACCCTGAGTGCCCCCTCGCCATCTGTCAGCCTTTCTGGCTCTGCGGCCCAAATGCCCAGAGGAAGCCAGTGTTTCGGGGAGGGGCAGCCTGGGTCATGGGAGATTCTGGAGCACCAGGGGTGGGGGTGGGGAGTCCCTGTGCTCACTAGAGCTCCACGGGGCTGTTCAATTCTTTATCTTAGGATGGGGCCGCTGGGACGGTGAATTAGGAGGCGGCCCCTCACCAGCCTTGAGAAGTGCTCCCTGTGACCCCCCCTCACCCGCCCCTCTGTCGGGCGGACACTGAACTCGCCTAGTGCCAGGCCCCAAGCACGCTGGTCAGGAATGGACAGGTTTCTCTCCGACAGCAGCTGCCCGCACACCTCTCGCTCACCTACCAACCCACTGCCCTATCCCTGCCGCCTCCCATCCGCCCCAGGCCACAAATGGCAGAGCGAAGGCTCAGAGTAATCGCCCCACGGCCACGCTACCCGCAGCAGGCTACCCGCAGCGGGCACCTACGCCCGTGCTCGCGCCCTGTCCGTACCTCCCCCTCGATGTGCGTGCTGATGAACTCGTTGACTGTCATGAGCCGCTGGGCCCAGTCCTCATCAGTGTACCTGGACCCCACTTCCACGGGCACGGTCCGACAGCCGGCGGTCGCCTGGATGTACTCCAGACTGGGAGAAAGAAAAGGAAGTTCGGTCCCTGGTCTGTGGGTGCGGCCGAACGGGCCCAGCGGAGTCTATGTCAATGCACCCCAGGGCCATGAAGCTCTGCAACGAAAGCCCCCGCCTCACCCCACAGTTCCTGCTCTGTGCCCCCACCCCAAGTCTGCAGTGGGGCCGGAAGGAGCTGTGGGGAGGGAGCAAAGCCAGACACCGGGAGGGGCACGCGGCCATCCGGGTTTGTCCCTGACCCCCGGGAGTCCACAGGCTCCCTAGGATCCCGCCAGGGTGGAGCGGGCGACCACGAGACAGTGGACAAGGTGTGGACGGGGAGACGGAGTCACCCACCTCCACTTTCTCATGCACGGCCAATGGTCGGTCACACCTTCCAGGATCACGGGCCTCCCAGGAAGCAGGAAGTGCTCCCCGAAATACTGCAGGGACGGGCAGCGGACGCGGGGCACGATGCTTCCTGGCTCCAGGTCTGGGAGGGGGACCGGGGCACTCCTGGCCTTCTGGTTTGGATGAGAGGAAACCAGGTGGCACCCAGAGCGGCCCAGGGCGGCCCTGCTGGGCCCGGGGCCATTCCCCCGCCTCTGGGGCAGACTTGGGGGTCCAAGGGGTCAGCACTTCTGTCATGGTACCTGCCTGTCCTTTCCCCCCACAGGCCCGGAGGGGGGACATACGGCTGCTCCTCCCAGACCAGGGGTGCTCCCGGTGTCTGTCTGGGCTGTTCCCTAGCGCCTGTCTCAGACCCGCATCCTGCTGGTTTCTCCCCAGCCTGTTTACTGGGGGTGCAGTTAAAGCCATCGCAAGTCACGCCAGCACCCCTTACTCTGCACTCCATCCCTTCTGGATTGGACCCTTCACTGCCATGTAACAGAGGGGGAAACTGAGGCCAGGAGCAGCCGGTGAGTGATCTGCTGCTGGGTGCTGGCTGATGCTTCTGTGTAGGCCTCTCAGGTCCTGCTCTCGGCGTTTCACATCCCCGTGGGAACACCAACTAGGTTGGAGGAGCAGACAGGGCCAGCAAGCAAACACTCACCCCGTCTCAGCAGCTTGGAGAGAACCGGAAAGAGACAACCTCCAGCCGGGGGCACGTGCTAGGCTGCGGCCCTGCCTGCACTATCTTGGAGCAGGGCCCCCTACCATTCCTGAGCGGCCTGTGCCATTCCCGAGTGGGCCCCCTCGATCTGGGGCACCCCCTTTCCACTTGCCCAGCTCTCACCCCCCTACTCTGGCAGAAGCAGGAGGCCACCCCCGGAGCGGCCTCAGTCCCGGGCCCAGGGACACCCAGCTCAGCCTCTTGCCGCAGAGCCGGGGCAGGGCTGGCCGGGCACCCTGAATGTCGCCAGGGAGGTCGGAGCAGCTCACCCCAATACCTTGGTACGGGGCTGCTGGGGGCTGGGGCCCGGCGGGGGCCGTTTCCCCGCGGGAAGATGCGCCTGGAGGACAGCGGCCACCCGGAGGAGGATGTCCCCCAGGATGGCCGCCCCCATCAGCAGGCCCATGTCGCAGACCCTCAGGGCCTCGGCCACGGCCAGGGGCCCGGCGGGTGCCCGGCACAGACACACGGCCTTCAGCAGGCAGCCGAGCGCGTACACCCGGCGCCAGCCCTTGTCCACGTCCCGCCAGGGCCCTGTGTTGAGCTGCTCCCAGGAGTAGTCAAGGATGGCCTCGGCCGCCTGCAGGCACATGCTGCCCTGGCCCCCGTAGAAGAGCTCGGCCGCCCGCCGCAGCAGCTGCACCACGCTGCCTGTCACGCTCGCGCCCAGGTCCAGCATCAGTCCTTCCTGAGAGTCGGGCATGAGTGCCCTGAGGGCCCTCCAGAGAGGGCCTTCTGCCGGGGCCTCCGGGGTGCTCTCTCCCGCCATCAGGCCCTGCAGCGGGGAGAGAACAAGTCAAGGCCAACCAACCCCCGACTCCACGTTCCCATGCAGGCAACTGGGACCCGCGGTGGGGGGGAGCAGCAGCAGAGAGCATCTGTCTCCAGGGCGCATGGTCATGAGTCCAACCCCCCGGCACCCCACATGTGTCGAGTGTGCCCTGGGCAGCCCACTGCACCGCATGTGATTCCCAGCCGCACTGCAGCCAGGTGGGCATGACCAATGCAGAAAGGGGTGTGGTCCCCGGGAAGCACCGTGCAGCCATGAAGACGCGCCAGAGGTTGAGCCCTGGTGAGCAGGAGCACGTGCCCTGCAGAGCCCGGCCGTGAGCCCGCAGACGCCAGGCCTGATGAGCCAGTGTGAAAACAACACCACTGAAGACCCCGGCTGCCACAAACACACAGCCGCGAGGGGAGGGAGGAACAGAAAAGAGTTGTTGATTTTTCAAAAATAAATAAGGCAATTCCCTTTTCTTTCTTTTTTGTTTTCTGGAATAAAACAATACGGGGCTGGGGGCCCCACTCAACCTTGGAGGATGTCCAGTGGCTGGAAAAACAGGATCTCCCCGAAGAGACGCCTGCACACACCGGCACTCCCCCCCCCCCCCCCCCCCCTCCGCCCCAAGCTTGCACAGCTTCCTGGGCTGGTCCCCGGGAGAGGAGCGAGGGGGTGAGGCCAGGCCGCCTGTCTGCATCCTCGGGGCCTGGTGGGCTGCCAGGCATGCCTCGAACATTCAAGGAGGAACACGCCCTGTTCAGAACTCCCCTCTTCTCCCCATCTTCCCTGGCCAAGATGAGGTTGGGATGGGGAAGCCCTGTAATCTTCCTTTCCAGCTCCTGCACTGTGTACTAGCCTGTCCCAGGTGCTAGCCAGGAGCCCCCCCTGCAGGGCAACAACACACACTCAGTTCTGCATTCTCTAGAGCCTCCAAGGAGGAAGACAGCAGCAGATGCTCAATTAAACCTTCGCAAAAAGAACACGGAGAGCTCCATGCCGCCACCGCAGAGAATCCTGTGGTGCCTTTGTAGGCCTCAGCCTGGCACTATACCCACAGCAGGCCCGTCTAGTCCTTCAGAGTGAGCACCTGTGGGGGATTTCTGCTGCTCACAGTCACTGACTGGCTTGTGCTACCATGTTCCAGGCATCATGTCAAAACTTACTCTCTCCCCTGCTCCGAAGAGACTGTGTCACGCCAGGAGGGGTAACAAACTTTTCGTGAAGGAGCAGATGGGGCTAATTCCAGCTTGTAGGCCATGGTCACGGATGCCAGGTCAGTCACCGGAGAGCAAAAGCCAACACACACAACATGGAAACCAATGGCGGGGGCTCTGCTGTAGTAAACCCCTTACAGAAACAAGCCCTGCCTTAAGCTCAGCCAGCTCAACTTCCTGGGCACACAGTGTCAAGACTTATTTATCAATCTTATTTTGGTCTGGGCGGGAGGTAGTATGGGGGTTAGACCATGTGCCACGATGTGGCCCCAAGCATTGCCAGGGTGACTGGGGTCCTTGGCACTGCAGAGCCCTTGCATCACCATGTCCTTGAGCCTCACAGTGAACTAATGGCTCGAGTTCAATGTGGCAGAGAATCACCAGCAGATTGTCTGGGTGCCCAGAGCATCCAAAAAAAGAATAAAAAATATTCTATTCTTCCAGTGCCAGGAACTGAATCCAGTGCTGGTTCAATTCAGAGAGAGAGAGAGGGTTCTAGAAATGGACAGAAAGATGCAGCTGTGCTGGTCCTGAAGATGGATGAAGGTCACTGAGTCAGGACCAGCGGAAAGGCTGACCGAACAGGCAAGAGCGTGGATTGACACCCCCACCCCCCACCCCAACACTCAGAAGGGAACACAGCCCCCTTGATTTGGGCAGTGCTGTAACTCCTCACAGCTACCAAGTTTTGGTAGTAAGTTTCAGCAGTAGGGAGCTAATGACTTGTTTCACACCAACAGAATCTCAGTTGGCAGAGGTGATGAGATGCCGCTTATGTAACTGCTACCTAAGATGCAACTTCCACCTAAAAGACAGACCCTGTTCTTGGTTTGACACAGTGAAGCAAGTCACCCTTGGAGAGAGCCCCACGAAGCAAAGAACTGAGGGCAGCTTAGGGCACACAGAAAGCTGGGAACAGTCCCACAGCCCTTCCCCAACAGAGAACTTTCTGCCAACAGCTGCACGAGCCTGATCCCCATGCGGCTGAGCTCATAAAGTCCCCTGGGCCCAGGAGACCCCTGAGTGCAAAGCCAGGTGTGTACGCCTTGAGCACCGCTGGGTGTGGCTCAAAGGGGTAAAAAAAAAAAACCAACCACTTTTAAGAGGAATACACTTCTATTTATTTAACTTTTGGGTCACACCTGGCAATGCTCAGGGGCTACTCCTTGCTCTGCACTCGGGAATCACTCCTGGCAGTGCTTGAGGGACTTTACGGGATGCTGGGGATCAAATCCGGGTTGGCCACATGCAAGGCAAACTTGTTTTGTTTCGGGACTACACCTGGTAGTGCTCAGGGCATGCTCCTGGCTGTGTCCAGGGATCACTCATGGTGGGGCCTAGGGGACCACATGGGGAACCAGAATCGCACCCAGGTGCAAGGCAAACTGTACTTTCTCTCCACCCACTGTAAAGATCTCTCGACCCACTGTACTATCTAAAAAAAGAAAGAAAAGAATAAACTTTTAGAACTCTCATTGCACCGTTTTCTCCAATGTTCATCTTTTTTCATTATTTGGGCTTCCAATTTTGCGAGTGGTGATTGTCCTATGGCACAAGCCTAATCCTGGGCTACCTGCAGTTTTCCAGCACACACACACACAAACACACACCCGACAACTAACCCAGGCAAAAACCCGAGTTATTCCAGGCAAACCGAGCCCTTTCGTCCTTATCATCAAGGACACCTAAAATAATGTAAAATAGCCAGAGAGTATCCCGGAGGCAAAGCCAGCCGCTGGGTCGCGCAGGAGGTGGCTTCTGGGAGTGGCCCAAGGGCCTTTTCCAAGAGACACGGAAAGGGGCTGGAGGCCGGGTTCTACCAGCGATTTCAGTCCGCACCAGGTGACCTTGCAGAGCGCCGCGTGCGGGGCAGCAAGCAAGGCGAGGTCAGCTTTAAGCAAACAGGCGTTTTCTTTGTTGCTGCTTGTTTGCTGGGCGGAGGCGCCTCATTGCTCCGGGGCCCCGTGGTGCCGACGCGTACCGCAGCCCAGACCACCCCACCTGCCCACCCAGGAAGCAGCGCCTCCCCGCACCAGCGCCAACCCGGAGCATTGATTCAAAATGCACACAACCCGGACTGACGCTGCCGGAAAGCGAGGCAGGCAGGCATTGTCGCGCACTGTCGCGCGGACCGGAAGTCGCGCCGCCGCGCACGCGCACAGCCTCCTCCCGCGTCTCGCGGGGTCTGGGGAGGCGCAGCAGCAGCGTCCGGGTTGGACCCCGCGCGGTGTGCGCTCGCCTCGCACGCCGGCCCCGCCGCCCGAGCTCCCGAGCGGCTCGCTGTCTTGCGTGCTCCCCCGCGCCTGTCTCCGCCCGGCCCGCGCCCGGCCGAGTCGCCCGGACCTACCGGAGCGTCTAGGCCGCGTCCCGCAGCCCCCGCGCGCGCCGCCGCCGCCGGAAGTCCCGCCCCCCGGCGCCCGTCCAGTCCCCGGCCTGCGCGAGGCCTGTCAATCACTCCCGCCCAGCCGAGCGCCGAGTCCTGGACACCCCGCGCGGGCGGGAGCGCGCCGCATCCTTCCTACTTCCGTGCGGACGAGGCCCACAGCCTTCTCTGCATTGCAGGCGGGTGTTTTTTTTTTTTTTTTTTTTTGCAAAGCACCCTCGCGTGCACTATTTTATCTATTTCATTCTTTTTTTTAAAATTTTTATTTGCTGAGCAGCTCCCGTGCAATATAAAGTGGCCAAATACTTGGACTGTAGGAGAGTCACAGATCCGGAGTTTGAACTCCAAATGCCTCGTACGTGGCCTGTGGGTGCCACAAAGGGCACCACGCACCAAAAAATACCCAGAAGAGTGTGGCTATCAGTGTGGCACCTCTGCAGGCAAACACGGCCGGCAGCTCTCCTGCCACTGCTGTTGGGATGCTGCACGGTGTGGGCCCCGCTGGTGGTGGTGGTGGGGTGTGTGTGTGTGTGGGGGGGGGTTAAACACTTCCCCTGTGACCCCCCCTAGGGAGGCGAGCCTTAATAGAGCAAGGCAATATAAAATGGAGCACAACAGCGAGGTGCTGTTTTGCCAGCTTGTTAGTTTTTTTTTTTTTCCTCAAAACTGGCTTATTGAGATAAATTCTAGGCACAGATGAAATGCTTTAATAAAAGTAACACTGTCTTTGGGGCTGGAGCGATAGCACAGCGGGTAGGGAGTTTGCTTTGCATGCGGCTGACCTGGGTTGGACTCCCAGCATCCCATATGGTCCCCTGAGGACCACCAGGAGTAATTCCTGAGTGAAGAGCCAGGAGTAACCCCTGTGCATTGCTGGTTGTGACCCAAAAAGAAAAAAAAAAGTAACACTGTCTTTGACTCTGGGTGTCACCTGCTGTGGCCTCATGGCCAGCCTTTATATCCCGGGCCTTTGCTCTTTCCTGGCACCTGTGGAATTGGTCACTACCTGGACAGTGGTGGAAGAGGCACTGAATAAACAAAAGTACCGTCACCCGGTTACAGCCATGTCTCTGATGTTCCATTTGATCAGGAGCCTGTGACTGAAATACACCCAAGTGTGCTGGGGAACATTGTGGCTGAATTACCAAATTTATTTAAAATGCACACAAAACAACACTCTGGAATGGAAACATTTAATTTGGCCACGGAAGAGCTGTTTCAGTTACACCAGCTGTGGGTAGATGTGAAGAGTCCCACTCTTGCATTACCCCTGGTCGCCTAGGGCTGGTGCTCTCTGCCTTTGTGTCTCTACAGCACATGAGAGTGAACCTGACATGACTCCAAAGGAGTGGAAAGGAAAATCCAGGGGTTTTGTTGCGTGGATTTCACTGGAG